AATTCTCGAACAGAAAGGTCAGCGGAGCACCATTCCCGCGGCTTTGCTAAGCTGATCCTTACTGCTTTGGCAATGACGCTTGGATTTATACCCATGGTCCGCAGACACACCCACCCACCCATACGCTCCCCACGCAGCGTGTGACTGCACTGCAGGGATCTCCCCAAACCCACTGTCTCTGGGGCTCATCGGAGCAGCATTACAAACTCCTGGAAGCCAGGCTTTCTCCAGGGCTCACCGTGAAAGGCCACAGGTCAGGAAATTTAACGGAACCCCCTTTCACAAACACTAAGTAGTTTAATTTACCATCTCGACAACAGAACCCAATGATAGACCCTGACCCCCGCTCCTCGTGTTCATAACATTTCCGCTGCCATCAGGATCGGGGCCCTGGTGCTCTCCTGGCCCCCTTCCCCTCGCCCCCAGAACTTGGTTCAAGGCCAGAGGGGCCACAATGCAAAACACATCAGAAGGTTTCCACGGTCTGCCTCTGGACAGAGGGTTTTACCAAGCTCAGGGAAAGCAGGCTGGCATGCTGCTAAGGTGTCTTGGATTTAGTTTTATTTAAGAGCTCTGCTCTAGTTCTATTTAGGGGCAGGTCTCTGGCTTGTGTTATAGGGAGCCAGGCTAGATGATCACTGGGGTTCCGTCTGGCTTGGGAATCGATGAATGAGTGTAGGATACAGCTCGAGATCACGCCGATATCAAACACACACAAACTAAAACGCGGATCCAAAGTGTTCCAGGGATTCCTGGCTGGGGCCCCACCATGACACACACCCATGTAAGGTGAGGCATGGGTGCGAGTTCCTCCTTATTCAGTATTTGCCACTTGAGCCCCACCCCTTCCACAGCTTCCACCAGACCCTGAGCACCCGAGAGACCCAAAGAGAAGCCGGGTGAGCAGCCGGCGGGCGTCGCTACCTCAGACCACAAAACCGCAGCCCACTCAGCGCAGGGAATCAATGTGCGCATTGTCGAGCCGTAAACACAATCGTTTCCATGTCCAGGACAAAGGAGGCCAGGTTCAATTGAGAACCCCCTGCCCAGCGCCCCAGCGCTCACCTGCCCGGAGCTGGGAGCGCGTGTGGTAAATAGAAACCCTGCAATCACCTCCTTGCCCACCCCTTTCCGGCTTGAGAGACACATCTCTGTTTCCCCACACACGCCGACGCGCCTGCAAGCCAGGCCGGCCCTGTGCTCTGCTGGTGCCCAGGACAGCTGCTTCCCGCTGAACTCCTTTCGATAAAGGCTCCAGATGCTGCCTCTCGGCTCGCTGAAAGCTGTTTAGCTACAAATGTGTCAGTCACTCGGAGCTCGCTGGCCAGGAGCAAATCTGAAGAGCCAAGTACAGTGGGCATTGCTATTCCCCTCACCTCCCGCCAGGGCCTGTCCAGCAGCCATGCTCCCTTATCTGCCCCCTCCATCTCCTTATCTGCCCAGCATCTCAAACACACAGCTCAGCCCCTCTGCCGGCTGGATAAAGAAGGTCAGCTCCAGCCCTGACTCCATTTCCTGTTTCCAAAGGGTGCGTTTCCTCCGCTTTTCTGCAGCAGATCAGCAAACAGGTTGGGCAATCGACCTCTAGGGAAGGGTGGAAGTTCCTCTTGGCCAGCTCCCCAGGGAAGCAGGAGCAGGCCTTGACTCTGCCCTCACCGCTCCTCGCACCCAGGCCCCGATTCCACAGGTATGTAATCCTCTCACTCTGAAATCAACCGCAGTCCGGATCACCCGCACGGGTAAGGGCTGTAGGCAGGGCTGGCCCTAGATCAAATAGCGCCCTGAGTGAGGGGCATCTTCAGCGTGCCCCCCCCCCAGGTTAAACGTTTGAATATCTTATTTTGTATTGCATTTGTAGCCCGTCATCACTTTGATGCACAATTTTATGCATGATTTATCCGTCATATAAGACACTAGCAACAAACACAGCACCCTGAGCCCGGCGCCCCCTGACCCTGGCCCCCAGATGGTCACACGGGTCACCTGCCCCTAAATCCGGCTGTGGCCGCAGGCTCAGGCTCTTCCCAACAATTGGACCACTCGCCTGAGCAAGGATCCCTCAGAAGAGCTGCAGGTTTGGCCCTGGCTGTCCACCAAGTCGAGGGTAACATAACATCCAGTTACAGAAATGTCCTTTTATGCACAATTCCCTATATTCCTCCCAAAGTTAATGAGACGAGGCTGTGTACTGTATTAACCAAAGCGTTCACTCTATCAATGAGCTATCCGGGCCTTGAGAACAATAGGCCTAGGGACAATTAACCGGGAACAGGACCTTCCTAACTCAAGAGAGCGTTTGCAGTTTTACTGGCGGGATAAACAGAAGGAAGTTTGGGACTGGAGATATTTGAGAACAGCGCAGAGGAGGGCTCTGACCCTGCAAACACTGGGGAGGAAGGACTCCTTGGGGAGAAACAAATAATTGGTACCAAGCCCTGCACTTTCTAAAACAGTAGGAATTTTGTCCGCATTTCCGGGGTTGGAAGTGTCACACCAAGGTCTCCAAAGTGCCAGGTAAAAAAGCATGTTGTCATCATACGATCATGCAAACTGCAGCAACATAGACAGAGCAACGGGGAAATACGTTCCCTGATGGGGAAGTCCCTGCATATTTAGAGGCAGGGAGCAGCCAGTTTAGACAGCATATTACTCTAGGTTCACCTTCCATCACCGAACAAGTCACTGAATTTCCCAGTCCCACCCTCTCCATTCAAGTCAGTGCGAGGAAGCTTTCCCAGCCACCCCAGTGCCCTCCCCACTGGGGGTGCTGCTGGGACAGTTATTGGAGAGGGTATTTGCGGAGACGGGCAGGATCTTCGGGTGCAATTGGGGTAGTGATTGGTGAAGAACATTGCAGTGGAGACTGGGGGCAGTTCTCAGGGTGGATATGGGGGAGACAGGAATGCTCTGGAGGGAAAATGGGGCGGGGTGCATGCTGAGGTGGATATTGGGATAGGGATCTCATGGCTGGTGAAGGATATTGCTGTGGCTGGCGGGATTGTTACTGGGGTGGGGGACGTGGGAGCAGGAGGGAGGATATCGCGCAGTCGATACTGGGGCAGTTCTTGGGGCGGATGAGTCCTGGGGCGGATGGGGGATATGTGGAAAGCTATTGGGATGGAGGGCATTGGGATGGGGTGGGAGATATTGGGGTGGGGAGTACTGGGGGCAGGGTGAGGGCATCGGGGCAGGCTGGGATATATGGGGATAGCTATTGGAGTGGGGCTACTGGGAGATGGGGCCGGGGGGTGACTGGTGGGGTCTCCATTGGGTGGATAGTTATAGGGGCAGGGTGAGGGTAGCTATTGGAGTGGGGCTACTGGGAGATGGGGCCGGGGGGTGACTGGTGGGGTCTCCATTGGGTGGATAGTTATCGGGGCAGGGTGAGGGTGTATTGGGGTGGGGATACTGGGAGATGAGGCCAGGGGTGACTGGTGGGGTCTCCATTGGGTGGATAGTTATCGGGGAGGGTGAGGGTAGCTATTGGGGTGGCGGATACTGGGAGATGGGGCCGGGGGTGACTGGTGGGGTCTCCATTGGGTGGATAGTTATCGGGGCAGGGTGAGGGTAGCTATTGGAGTGGGGCTACTGGGAGATGAGGCGGGGGTGACTGGTGGGGTCTCCATTGGGTGGATAGTTATCGGGGAGGGTGAGGGTAGCTATTGGGGTGGCGGATACTGGGAGATGAGGCCGGGGGTGACTGGTGGGGTCTCCATTGGGTGGATAGTTATCGGGGCAGGGTGAGGGTAGCTATTGGGGTGGCGGATACTGGGAGATGGGGCGGGGGTGACTGGTGGGGTCTCCATTGGGTGGATAGTTATCGGGGCAGGGTGAGGGTAGCTATTGGGGTGGCGGATACTGGGAGATGGGGCGGGGTGACTGGTGGGGTCTCCATTGGGTGGATAGTTATCGGGGCAGGGTGAGGGTAGCTATTGGGGTGGCGGATACTGGGAGATGGGGCCGGGGGGTGACTGGTGGGGTTCCATTGGGTGGATAGTTATCGGGGCAGGGTGAGGGTAGCTATTGGGGTGGCGGATACTGGGAGATGGGGGGGGGTGACTGGTGGGGTCTCCATTGGGTGGATAGTTATCGGGGCAGGGTGAGGGTAGCTATTGGAGTGGGGCTACTGGGAGATGAGGCCAGGGGTGACTGGTGGGGTCTCCATTGGGTGGATAGTTATCGGGGCAGGGTGAGGGTAGCTATTGGGGTGGCGGATACTGGGAGATGGGGCCGGGGGGTGACTGGTGGGGTCTCCATTGGGTGGATAGTTATCGGGGCAGGGTGAGGGTAGCTATTGGGGTGGCGGATACTGGGAGATGGGGCCGGGGGGTGACTGGTGGGGTCTCCATTGGGTGGATAGTTATCGGGGCAGGGTGAGGGTAGCTATTGGGGTGGCGGATACTGGGAGATGAGGCCAGGGGGTGACTGGTGGGGTCTCCATTGGGTGGATAGTTATAGGGGCAGGGTGAGGGTAGCTATTGGGGTGGCGGATACTGGGAGATGAGGCCAGGGGGTGACTGGTGGGGTCTCCATTGGGTGGATAGTTATCGGGGCAGGGTGAGGGTAGCTATTGGGGTGGCGGATACTGGGAGATGGGGCCGGGGGTGACTGGTGGGGTCTCCATTGGGTGGATAGTTATCGGGGCAGGGTGAGGGTAGCTATTGGGGTGGCGGATACTGGGAGATGGGGCCGGGGGGTGACTGGTGGGGTCTCCATTGGGTGGATAGTTATCGGGGCAGGGTGAGGGTAGCTATTGGGGTGGCGGATACTGGGAGATGGGGCCGGGGGGTGTCTGGTGGAACAGCTGTTGGGATGGGGGACCCTGGGGCAGGAGGGAAATAGGGGAGTAGCTCTCTGGGTCAGGGTACTGGAGGGTGAGGCCCAGGCCCTTGACACGGGGACAGCTGTGGGGGTGGCTCTCTGGGGAGCGGTGGGGCCGGCCGGGGGGAACTTGGGGGCGCTGGCTCCCGGGGGAAGGCGCCCCTGGGGGTGGCTCTTACCTGCTTGAACTGCTCCTCGTAGGTCCACTCGTGGTGCTGGGGCGGTGGCTGGCGGGGCGGGGAGAGCGAGCGGGCGGGCTCCGGGCGCTGCTGCGGGGCGCTGGGGGAGCGCGGCGGGTACCGGGCCGCCCCCGCCTCTTCCTCCAGGTCCTCCTCCTCCTCCTCCTCCTCCTCGTGGTCCGGGGCGCCGGGTCCCGGCGGGGAGCCCCCCAGGCGGCCGCGGGGGGCCAGCCCGCAGCGCACCGCCGCCTGGTAGTGCTGGATGGCCAGCGCCTGCTGCTGGACGCGGCTCCCCACCACGGAGCGCAGCTGCCCCGGGCCGGGCTCCGCCTGCCCCCGCCGCAGCTTCTCCTCCACCCGGGCCAGCCGCGCCGCCTGCTGCCGCTGCAGATTCTCCATCACCGCCTCCAGCCGGAGCCCGCCGCCGCCCGGGGCCGGCAGGGCAGCGCCGCGCCCCGGGGAGCCGCCGCCGGCGCCCGGCCCCGGCAGGGGCAGCGACCCCGGGGAGGAGAAGGCAGCCTGCGGGGAGACACAAGGAGAGTGGGGGGTGGGGGTGAGTGCCCGGCCCAGAGAAGAGGGGGATGAAGGGGAAAGGAGAGGAGGGGGAAGAGGGGGATGAAGGGGATGAAGGGGAAGGAGGAAGAGGGGGATGAAGGGGAAGGAGGAAGAGGAGGGGGAAGAGGGGGATGGAGAGGGAGGAGGAAGAGGGGGATGAAAGGGGAAGGAGAGGGGGATGAAGGGGGAAGGAGGAAGGGGGGTGAAGGGGAAGGAGGGAGGAGGAGGGAAGAAGGGGATGAAGGAAGAGGAGGGGGAAGAGGGGGATGAAGGGGAGGAGAGGGGGGGGAGGGGGAAGGAGGGAGAAGGAAGAGGGGGATGAAGGGGATGAAAGGGGAAGGGAGGAAGGAAGGGGGGAGAAGGAAGGAGGGGGATGAAAGGGGGAGGGGAAGGAGAGGGGGTTGAAGGGGGAAGGAGAGGAGGTGGAAGAGGGGGATGAAAGGGGAAGGAGGAAGAGGGAGAAGGAAGAGGGGGAGAAAGGGGGGGGTTGAAGGGGGGGAGGAGGAGGAAGAGGGGGTGAAGGGGAAGGAGAGGAGGAGGAAGGGGGGGTGAAGGGGGAAGGGGAGGAGGGGGAGGAAGAGGGGGGAGGAAGAGGGGGATGAAGGGGAAGGAGGGGGGGGAGGGGGAAGGGGGGGAGGGAGGGGGATGGGGAAGGAGGGAGGGAGGAAGAGGGGGATGGGGAGGGGGAAGGGGGGAAGGAGGAGGAGGGGGGAGGGGAAGGAAGGGAGAAGAAGGAAGAGGGGGATGAAAGGGGAAGGAGAGGAGGAGGAAGAGGGGGATGAAGGGGGAGAGAGAGGGGGATGAAGGGGGAAGGAGGAAGAGGGGGAGGAGGGGGGCAGAGAAGGGCCGAGGGGGGAGAGGCCGAGGAGAGGAAGCCCGGGACAGAGGAAGGGAGCGGGGCAGGAGGGCTGGGGGGACAGCGGGGACCGGAGAACCGGGGCCGGGGGCGGGCAGGGAGAAGCCGCAGCGCGTCGCCCCCTCGCTCCCACCCGGACTAACTCGGGGCGCGGGGGCGCGTCTCGCCCAACTTTTGCCGCTGCCCGGCTCCGCTCCAGCCGGGGGCCCCAAGCCCCTCGCGGGGAGCCGGGAAGCGGCTCCTCTGCCCCGGCGGGAAGTTCGCAGCCCGGAGCCGGGCTCCAGCCGGGGGATCTCCCCGCCCGAGAAAACATCCCGGCGGATGGGCCGGGGAGGAAGGGGAGGGGGAGACGGACGCAGTAAAGGGAGTTTCAGGGCAGGGAGAATTGAGACGGGGGGGAGATTGGGGCGCGGGGGCTCCCCAAAAGCCCCCCCCCGGCTCCAGCTCTGGAGGTCCGGGAGACCCCCCCTTTCCGCCCGGGGCGGCCAGACCCACACGCGATCCACGTGCAAGCCGCGGGGGATCCCCCCTCGCTCGGCTCTTTATGAATGATCAGACTCGGCGGGGCTGGGGGGGGGCGGGGGGGCTGGGAAGTTGCAGGACGTTTGACTTGATGCAGTTTCCACCCCCGCCCCCGAGTTCACTTCCACCCCCCACCAAGCAAAAAGCCCAACAACAACTAAAAGAAACCAAACAACAACCGCAACCCCATTAACTCCCCCCCCGCCCCCCCCAGCCGCGAGCCGGAGGTAATTGTTCTGTCAGGCATTCGAAAACATACAATTTTCTTTAAAAAAAAAAAAAGCTTACCAAAGCAGATTTCGTGTTTTCCACCATGCTTCCTTCTCTCCCACTGACTGGCTGCCCAAGGGAGCCGGGGGCCGGGGGGGGGGGGGGCTGTATAAATATAGATTTAAAAAACAATCGGATCTGTGGCTGTCTTTTTATTCCTCTGGCGCTTTGCTGGTGCGCTGGGCCCCCGGTCCCAGCATGGATCAGATTGTTACAAATATTTCCTTTATTCTGCAGCTTGTTGTAGCAATGGGGGGGTGGGGTGGGGTTTTTTTCCCTTTTTTTTTTTTTTTTTTTGCAACAAGTGGCAGTCAGAGGCAGTGTGACCCCTTCCACCGAGAGATCAGCCCTCTCTGCTCCCCATTTGCTAGCGACACGTCAAGGGAATGATAAATAGAGAGGGCAGGGTTTGCTGACAGCCAAAGGGGGAAAACGCTGTAATGCTTCCCCAGCAGGGAGATCACAGAGGAGGATACATGCTGCACAGTGATCAGGGCATTTCTAACCTACTTCTGGGCATTGCTCTGCGTGGGAGAGATCTTTCCAATCCGCAGAGCGGGGCTCAAACCCGGGCATTTCCAGCCCAGGGCTCTGACGTGGGGGTGCGATCACACATGTGCATTTCCAGCCTAGTGCTGTGTGTGTAACAGGGATCACGCTGGGGCATTTGCAACCGAGTGTCCTGACTCTGTGTGTGTGAGATCAGAAACTCCCTCCCTGAGTATCTGCTGTCTTTCAAGGGCTGTCCAGTCATGGACAATCCATAGTCCAGGCTCCGTGGCATCACCATACAGGGCGCCTGAAAACTGCATTTCCGCCATACCTGACACAAAAATGTGATCAGTCCATGCCTGTGCATGAGAGAGAGTGGGTGTGTGCGTGCGTGTGTGTGGTTTATTTAAAAGGATCCTCAGTGACAGGCGCATTCAACAGGAGAAATGTTACTACCAAGGCTTGATATCTTCATCTGCAAGACCCATGTTTCCCTGTCAGCCGGGGAAATCACTGCAATTTACACAAAGCCTTGGGATAAGTCCTCCTGACATCTGCACATATGCCTTGTGCCACTGACAGCAGAAAGGCCCCCAGTGCTTTTAAATCAGATGCACTTCATCCCATCAGCGAGCTCCAGCCGTAAGTGATTAGCAGCGCGTAAGTGTGAGGGGCAGCAGGTTGAAAAGTTAACATCAGAGCTGGGGGCTGGGGAGGAATATGTATCTCCTGTGCCAGATATAGAACTGTGTCAAATCACACAAAACCCACACCCAGAAATACCAGCTGCCTCAAACCCACAAAGCCAGGAAATTCACAGTTACTGCTGCAACTTTGTCCTTAACCTGGGCCTAAAGGCCATTGTTGGCTGCACATAGGATTTCAGGATGTTTTGAGTGGTTTTTTCCTGGAAGGAATCTCTCAATCTCTCTCTCTCACACACACACACACGTCTTAAATTCTTGTTAATTTACTTTTCTTGCACAGATTAGAAAAATTCCACCCGTCTAGTTCCCTATCTGCAATACATCACAGTATGATGCATTCGTCACCGCATTCATCACGGCAGCATCTAAGCACTGCTGACAAAGGGCATCCACGTTTATCCCGAAGACAGGAGCGCATTAGACGTGATCAAGAAAGGCTAGGTTCTGATCCTGGGAGGGAATGGGCACCTTTCAGAATCAGGGCCAGTAGGGCCCAATCCTGCAGGCCTCACTGGCACAAGGGCTGCAGGAGTGAGCACCGATGTTATAGAAATCCACAGAAGAGAAAGGAAACCTCACCTTGACACAATCCTTGCAGCTTCATTTCCTCTTCTTTGTACGTTTACGGCATATTTTAACGCACACACACACAAAATAAATAGATGGGGGAGGAATCTTGTTGCCTTTGATCATCTGCATGGATCTCTCAGATGCAAGAGACCAAAGCAAATAACATAGTTCCTGATCCTGCAATATGCATATGGGTAACTTTATGTGCCACTGATCGGTTTAAATATTTCCAGGATCGGGCCCACCCTTTCGCTTTTGTAGCTCCTTTCAACTGAAGATGTCAGGTGCTTTGTTAGCATTCATTTATAGAGCCCCACCACACTCCAGAGAAACAGGAACAGTCAGTGTCCTTCCCCCAGATTTACAAATGGGTAAACTGAGTCACAGAGGTGAAGTGACTCTCCCAAGGGTGGACATGGCCCTATCAGACAAGCCTACGGAAATCAAATAAGAACAGCAGCAGGATGGGACTCATGGAAACCTAGAACCAGAATCCCTGCAGCCTAGCCTGCTGCTTTAACCACTGGTCCACACTCTCTTCCCTACAGCTGGAATATTACACAATCTGCTGCAGAAGATACAGTAAGTGCATCTAGTAAGTACAGACAGGGGAGGATGACGAGACATGATATTATCCTACCTCCTTTGGGGTGTTTACATCTGAGATGAATACCAGAAACAGGAAGAGGGACCAGGGTGAGCAGGTGGTCTCTATAACATCTCTCTCTCAGAGGCAGCTTTCCCTGGACATAGGGGCAGCTGGTTACTGTAGCTCCTTACATCCCTTGACTGATCACTCTTTCAGGAGGTTATTTTTCCAGTCCTGAATTTCCAAAATGGCAAGGTTGTCACGTGAGCAGAGCTCAGGGATGAGGAACGGCTTCAACACACTGATGGTTTTAAGGGCATCTAATTCAGCTAGAACCATTCATAAGTCAACATGCTTACAGCATGGGAATGGCAGAGCAATACCCCATCTGCAAAGCTCAGGGCCCAAATCGATCTCTCTCCTTCTCTATCCCAGCACACCCCACTTTCTCTCTATACATCAATCCCCATCCATCCCATTTATCTGTCCATCCATCCGTCCCCACAGCCCCTTTATCTGTCTATTTGCCTTCCCCATACACCCCTTCTATTTATCCATCCTTCCCCATCCATCCCTTCTATCCATCCATCCCCACAGCCCCTCTATCTATTCACCTACCCAATATACCTCTATTTATCCATCCATCCTTTCCATCTATCCATCCATTCCTAGACCCCCCTATACATCCTTCCCCATCTATCTATCTATCTATCCTTCCTTCTTTAGCAAGGCAAACTTTTTTATCTCCAAATGTCAGTCTGCCATTTCCCCTCCCTCTAACACAACCCGAGCCATTGTGGTGGCCCAGGAGGAGTGGTTACTTCTTCCGTTCGTCTTGTGGATGAGACATAAAACCGAGATTCTGTCCAATTGCGGCGGTTGAATATCCTTCCTGGCACTTTCTCCATAAAGTGATTCCCCTCAGTCCTTGGCTGGTTGGGCTGCTATGATATGAATAGTTTGTGTTCATACAACACCTTTCCTCGGCGGGTCTCCAGGTGTCTTACAGACGTTACCCCCAGAATCCCCCCAGCTCCAGGGTGAGGCAGGACAGACGGGGAAAAGCTAGGCCAGCGAGAGAAGGAGCGACTTACTCAGGTTCACAGTGAGTTAGTGGCACTGGAATTATGAACAGCGCTGAGCACTCCTGA